ACACTTGACACAGCCCTGTCTGGTGGGCAGGCCTGTCGGGGCTCGGTGGCGCAGGCGCCCCCCACAAGCACACTCTCAGTATAATGTTTACAGCCCAGCTGTCCGTGTCGGCCGTGCTTTTGAATGCACATTTTTACACTTTTTTTAAAGTATTTTTTACAAAGTTTTTATACAGCAATCTCTATATGGATTTATATAATCACTAGATGTGATCCCATAGAAATGTATGTTATGATGGTCTGTTTGTTACAAACGCATATGCCACAGTTATCTCCATTGTGTTACTTGTCTGGTAGCATCCAGCTCCTTTCCCCGAGGTGCTGGGAAGGGGGTCCAAGCTGCCCTCTGCAGTGGTGTTGCTACCCTCTCCATCCATGTATGTCCTTCATAATACTCAGTTCTGTATCTCTCAGTAAATGTTACCTTTACGTATGTCGTCCTCCTGTGCTCTGTCTGGGTCAGCCCACGGTGACCTCTGGCCAGAGCTCGGCACTGTGGCAGCGTGTGCCAGGTGTGACTGTGCTGGGTCCATTCCTGTCTGAGTGGGATGGTGGAGCTGAGCCCAGAGGTATTTTTGGGCATTCTCTGTATTAGCAGCTGTGGGCCAGGGGGATTCACCATAGCGAAGCTGGGAACCTCGGGGGCAGCTCTGACCATTGCCATGCAAGAAGCAGCTCAGCGCTGCACTGAAGAGGGCAAGCAGGGCATGGTTTGCTGGCTGGAAAGGCAGAGGTATGAGATGGGGAGATCCTCTCATCCTTACTTGGTCCTTGTTTCAGGCCTGAACAGAGCAGCATGAACACATTTCAGGGATGAAGAGATGGGGGAGCTGTCACAATGTCCTTGTGGTGATGATCCCTCCATGGAAGTAGGTGGAGAACAGTTTCTTTGGGTCTTTGCTGGCTCCTAGCCTTGCTCCTAATTGACATGCCAGGAGAGCTCCTAAGGCTTGCCCTGGGTGTTGGCCAGTGCTGAGCTTAGGGGTGTAGAGGGTGAGAAGATAATCAGCCAGGAGTGCTTCAGATGCTGGGACTGAAAGTGTTGGCATCCCCCTGTGAATAGCCAAGCCCTGACCCTACTGCTGTGTTCCTGACTCTTGGACACAAAAGAAATGGGAAGGTGCCATGGCCTGCAGTGGGGCAGACCCCATCCCACATGTGTGTACCACTGAGGGTTGTCTCAGAGGAGCAGTGGTGCATCAGTCTTCTCCCAGTCAGTGTCGTACCCATTACCAGTGGGGATGATGCTACTTTGGTGCAAACTGCAAGTGAAAGAAGCTTTCAGCATCTGGTGCAGACGCACACTCCAGCCAGGAGTGCTGAAGCGGTGTTGCGGAGAAGATGAGCTTGACCTAAACGAGACAACAGCATGGGAGGTCTTCCCTGAGCACAAGTGCTTCTCTAGTGCTTGTCTCTCTCTGTAGCCTCATTTTCCAACCCTTAACCTCCAGGGATATCTGACATTGGTCCTTTCCCTGTCTCATACTTTTTTTTTTTTCTGAATTTTCCCTTCCTTTCTATAACTTCTGTCTTTGGGACCTCCCAAAATGCTGCCAGCTGCCTTATTTAGTGTGAAGCATGTTGAATCTGTTACAGTTTTTGCCCTGGGAGGACTTGTTGGCTGAGGTGCTGTAGAGGAATGTGCAAGGACAGGACCTAAAACAAAGCTGGTGGAGAAAAGCAGTGACTGGCCTGGCTCCCACTGCCTGCTGTGCAGCCCTTGAAGCTGGGCAGCTGTCCCTTCTTCTGCCCAGACCCTGCAGCGGTGGCTCGGACCTGACCCATTTCTCAGCTGCTATCTGGAGCCCATCTTCGTACTTCTGAGGAACACAGTGCCTCTCAACGAGCTCTGCTGAAAGGACGCAGAGCACTTTCTGGGCCTGCTTCTTTCTTCAGGACTTTATTTTCCCCTGCAAAGTGTATATGATAATGAATTTCCAGGCTCCTGCAAGTATCAGTTTCCTCTTTGGTGATCAGTGGGAGCTCCCTGTGGAACATCAGCTGGTCCAGCCAGAGGCATTTCATGCTTTGTGCTCACCTGGAGAGCCTGTGTGCTCATCTTCACATTGAAGATGTGCTCTCACCCACCTGCCACACACTTTACAGCAGCGCTGGCAGTGCTGCTGGTGCAGGTGATGGCCATTCTCTGGCAAGTGGCCACGCTGCAGTAAAACTCCCTGCTATGAAAGCTGCTGCCTTGAAAGAGAAATATCAACTGAGCATACTAGAAGCAGCTAGAAAAGACAACAGCAGAAAAGTAATGGATCTACATCAGTTTAATGCTCTGCTACTCCAGCCAAGGCTCAGGCAGGAGCTATCTGAGCCCTGGCAGTGCTCAGGTAGGTTTTTGCCCAGTTTCCTATATATCCTCCAAACAGCCTTTTGGTGCATTCCAGTCAGTACCAAGGGGTTTGCCACTCAGTTTAGGGCATTTCTTTTCAGGGGACTATGACCCAGTGAAGTTAAAGCAGAGGGTTTGGGCCTCTGCCCCATAATCCACAGCCTGCAAGCATTGAATGGAAAAGGCTCAATTTCTGCACAACCCTAGGCTGAAAAACCCCTCCTGGTCCCTGTGGATGGGCTATTTGATGTTCCTGACTCTGGTAGTGTATGTCCTCTCCACTCCTCCATTAATAGAGGTACAAATATTGCACACAGGACAGGCGGTCCCACTGGACCCCTTTCAGGCTAGAGCATTACAGTGGCATCTCCTGGGCATGGGCAGGAGCAGCGGGCACATGCTGGGCACAGCACGTGTTGCTCCCTGCCAGAATGGTGCTCCCAAACCCAAAGAGCAATGGTTGTACCTGTGCCAAAGGCTAGTCATGCGGCTTCGCTTGGGAAAACACAGGGGACATTTCTCAAAGGTCAGACAGCCACCTCCTGGCCATCCCACCCCCACACATCCTGTGCTGGGTGCACTGGGGGCTCTAGAAGAGCAGAGCTGATGGTATCATGTATTTCTGGGACAGGGCTCGGTGCCAGAGGTGCTGCGGATGACGGCCTGGTAGATGTGAGGCCCAGCGCGCCGGCAGGAGGAGGTGCGCGGCCGCGGGAGCGGTGGG